AACTCAGAAACCAGGTGAGCCATGATTCGTGCGCCCTTAAGCACTGTGACGTCATTATCAGCCGACAGCAAGACGGCAAAATGGCCACCCCCTGAGATGGATAAAATCAAGTAGAATTTGCTGCTTAATTCATATTCCATCCATTTTCTAATCTGCTTAGCCTCACAAGGGTTGCAAGCCTATCCCAGCTGTCTTTGGGCAGTAGGCGGGGTAAACCCTGAACTGGTTGCCAGCCAGTCGAAGGCCATAAATAGACAACAATTCGCGCTCACACTCACAGCTAGGGACAATTTAGAGTGTTCCATTAACCTTCCATGCATGTTTTTGGAATGTGGGATGACACCAGAGTACCCGGAGAAAACCCAGGCAGGCACGAGGAGAACATACAAACCCTTAACAGGAAGGCTGTGTTAAGGTGGTTGTTTGTGACCTACAGTTGGCACTGTCGGGCTCTTCCTGCAGTGGCACACCTGTTGGTCATTGTGTCAGTAGTTCATGTTTCTGTTAAAAGGACTCCCTGCCCAACCAGTCGGTGTCGGGTCATTGTGCTTATATTTTTGTTAAATACATCTTGTTATGTCCACCTTGCTCGTCCTTGCCTACCTGCTTTTTAGGTTCCTCCAACTACCACCTCGCAAATCGGAGCCGGAATCAAACCCTGGACCTCTGCACTGTGAGGCCGGCGTGCTAACCAGTCACCACCCCCTGTGCTGAATTCATATGCCACAAATGCAATTATCAGAATGCTGTGTTGAAATTTGTGGGGAACATGATTGCAAAGAAAAATTCAGAATTGACTTCCCGTTGAAAGTAACATTTTCAAAATGCAAAGGAATACATATAGAAACATTTCCAGGTAAGGGTTGGTCAGAGTATCACATCATATTGGAGTCATAGGCTTCCAGATTTCATATTAAAAAGGACCAAGTGAAAAGTGATATCATGTCTCTGATGTGTGTATCGGTGGGAACAACAGAAAGATGGAACAGCGGTATGAAGATTTATACCCAAGCCTCCATCACCCTGTTGTGTTAAAAGCCATAGTTCAAAAAGTATTGTGTGTCATATCAGATGTTGCCTTACCTCAAATTCATATCTGCAGCAGGCAGTGTCACCATGTGAAGATGCAAATGGACACCAAATTTCCCCATACACTGGGCTCCATGTGAAACAGGCATCCTATTTCTGCATCCTATAATGCTATCCTGGGTTTGATCAGCTGTCAAGAAGCCACTCCTTCATGATCCTGTCTGATCATGTTATTAATACCAGTGTGACGTATGGCACGGTAATTGTTTTCAGAGGAGCCGAACCGAACTCAAGAGTAACAATTACTGATAGCGGATTTTTACTTAAGAGATCAAGTTCAAGGTTCCTGGCATTGTTTATGTGATTTTATACCATTATGGATCATAAGGTCAGTGGAAAAATACTTTTTTAGATATAGCAGGATTTTTTTTTTTTTTTT